TATTTTGGTTGGAAAAAGGAATTACGTGAACCCTCAAGATTGTTGTTTACTGAAAAAAAAAAACTAGAAAGAGAAACAGAGGTAAAGTATTGAAACTATTAATATTTTCATAAAACCGTCTACTAAAAAAAAGTGATAAGAGGGGAAAGCAAAGAATGCAGTTAGGCGGCATTTATTTTTTCTACATTTCCACTTTTTGGTTTCTGAAACTGTAGTATTCTGACTGCTTTTTTAGTCTTTTATTCTACCTCTTCCCTCTCCTGTCCCTTCTTTATTCTCCCCAAGAACTAAATCTAAACGCAAAAAATGTTTTATCTGCCAGCAAGAAAAGCTATTGGAAAAAGCTTAACCAACAACTCAACTGAGTGTGATTAAGTTACTTTTTGTCACTATTTAAAAAAAGTATTGTTTTATTCGGCAGAAGAAGAAGAGAAGAAGAAGGAGAGTAACGAGAACAAGCAACTTTTTTCCGTATTTAATCTCCTATTATCCGTTTATTCATTGATCCGTCCATTACTGTCACTGCCGTCGTCTACTTGTTCACTTCTATCTCTTCACTTTCTATCGTTTCCATAGCTCATGATACTGAGTTTTTTGCAGCTTAGTGGTTCCTGTTCTGATTTCCGGAACGACCGCAGTTCCCGGAAATGTGTCCTCACAGCAAATTGTTCGTATCTCTCGGTAAAGCAGGAAATTGAATGACTGGTAAATGAGAACTGAACAGAGAAACTATCTGACAACAACTCATAACCAAAGTACTTTTATTCTTCTATAGTCAATCTTTTTCTCAGATATTTCTTATATTTATATGAGCAGTAAAGTAATGAACAAATTTTGGATGTGCTTCATTACCTATTTCTATTTGCTCATCTAAATTCTTCTACCGTTTTTTTCGGTTCCTCTGCTTTTTTTTCTGGCTTTAATTTCCTCGTCTCCTCTTCTTTTTTTCCCAACACTCCCCTCCCGGCTGTTTCGTCCCTCCTCTCCCACCTCGCTTATTGCTCCCCTTCTGTTTGCAGATGAATACAGCCCGTTTGATTGGAAAAAAAGAAGGAAACAAGGATGCAGAAAAAGAAATTCATGCGCTAAAAATCTTCTCATGAATATCAATTTTTCAATAAAAATAAAATCCAAGGAGGCTGAAAAAGTTCTTTTTTTTCTTTTCAGACAAAAATATTCAGAAATTTGAAATATTTTGTTGCCTTGCCAACCCACTGAGTAACCAGCACCTCTAATTGTCAGGACTTTTTCCCTTTTCCAATCTTTTTTTGTTCGCAATTTCTGAAAGCTCTATTTTTAATTTTACCGCTTTGTTGCTACGACCTATTGTTTTGCTCTCTTTTTTCTTGTTGTTATTCTCAAAAATTATTCCCCTTTCCTGTCCTTCGCCCTTTCCGTAATTTTACTGGGAGAAGGTATACAAAGATAGAATAAGAAGAAATATAAAAATTTTTCGTTTTTTTTTTCTTTAGCACTTATTTTAATAAGAAATCTTTAAAGAATAAACTTTGCAGAAAACAAATTGAAGTAAGAAATAAAAAAAAGCGACCAAAACTGTTGCAGTATTGTTTATTTTTAATTCTGTTCTGCGCTTTTTCTTTCCTGCTGTTGTCCGTTTTCCTTGACGCTTAAAAAGAAGCAGCTTCATACTCATCTTTTTTCGTCAGTTCAGTTGAATTCTTTTCACTTAAATTTGTTTTATTTATTTGTTTTTTTTATTTAGATAATTGTTTTGCGAACAAAAAAGCAGAAAAAAAAAGTACGCAAGTGTACCAGATGAGTGAAAGGAAAAAAGCTATCATTTAAAAACTTGAAAAAAAAATTCATTCAAAACTTTGTCTGTATCAGAATATCTATAAACGTGAACGGCAGCAGCGAAGAGGATCAGTTAACCAAATATGCAATTTTTTGTTATGGAAGGGAATAAATGGAATTTACATATCAGACTTTTAAGTGTTTCCAACTAAAGGTACAATCGTCTGAAGTACGTAAGTATGTCTACACGTCTGTGTTGGTTGTGGTACTGCTGGTATACATATTGATATTTGTTGGTTTGTTCAAGATGCTAAAATTATAATATTTGAGCAATAACATCTTTTTTGTTTGGGTTTCATTGTCATTGCCGTTTTTCTTGCAAAGAGAACAAATTGTAATTAAATGTTCCTGGATGATATTAATTTACTTATGTGTTTTCATTCATATTTTGTTGTTTCCTTACCTTCATTGGTTTTTTTTTTATTTTTTGCTTTACTCCCACTATTTCGCTATTCCCCTTTCTTCAATCATTCATCTTTTTCACTCTCACCCCATAGGAAAAAACTTTTTTTTTTAATTCTAATCGGACTTTAAGCAATTCAGCTTTTCTTGCACTGACATAGTTACCGCTTTTTTTCTTTTATAACGGAGGGTACTGGGACAGAAAAGATGGATCGAATTTACTGCAAGTGTTGTCGGTGTCTATGTGATAAGACAATCTAAAGAAAAAAAAGTTCAGGCATCAGAATAGTGATCTGTTCACCAGTGATTATAATGTGATCGTCGATTTTCGCTCAATTGTTTTTTCTTCCTTAGTTTGTATGGCAGCAGTCACTCCGGCGGACTTATTGAGATGATTAGCAAAATGAAAAAGAAAAAGAAAAAATAATGC